TGGTCTACAGTCAGACCTGGAGCAGCTTTTTGTTGTAAAAAACGAGTTTGAATCTTACGTTTTAAAAGATTTAATCCAATATTACGTCGTCGACTAGCTGCTTTCAGATCATTGTAAATGAATCGAGGACCTAATTTTAATAAATTGTGTTCGTCCTCGGTTAGATTCATATGTGTTTCATTAATTATCGGGTGTGGGTGTGGGTGTTGGTGTCTCTTTTTCTACCATACCCACACCCACATCCACATCCTCAAGATTCAGACTTATATCAATAAAGAAATACTTTAAAATTTTTCATCATTAAGAAAAATTATTTAAAATACGCTGTAATGTTCGGATCCTATGAGAGAATAAGTATTCAGTACACTCTTCCTTTTTTTCTTCGTTTTTTGGTTTGAAAATCGGGTTCATTGTAATACGAAACCTTATAACTGGAGGATCCTATATTTAATCCAAACAAGTCATCAAATTTCAGTTTTTATTAATGAAAGTTACAAACAAAAAAGAAACTGAGAAAAAATAGGAAATGACCACAAAAAATGGTTATTACATTTAAATAAATACTTCACATAATAACATCACAAAAACAAAGTCAGTAGGCGACTGTTTAAGAACATAATACAAAGTCATAGGAGTATAACATCAACCGAGGTCAAACAGATCCGGCACGGAGACAGCCGGTTCCATGGTATTCCAGAGATTTCATGGAAGCAGTATTCCCGTTGAACAGATCCGGTAACCGGATTATCTGGTTTGGGCCAGAACCGACAGGAATATGTCAAAACTGGCAGCCGGATACGGTTAATTCACTTCTCCATCGGATTTCTGGCATTTTCCTGACAGGTTCCGTCCAGAAATGGCGAGTTTCCTTAGGGATTTTGCTGGATATTCATGGAATCCTGCTTCAGGAACCATCGTCCTGGGAACATCTTTAAAGACAAAGTTTAGACAAATCATGTTTATTTTCATTCAAGTCCTTTTTCATTCTGTAATTTTTGTATTTTATCTTTTAGTTGCTTGTTTTTGTCAGCAACTACTAATAACAAGTTTTTCATCTATTGTACTGAGATGTGGTTGATTAATGAATCAGTCACATCTGATAGGCCAATAGCAATTTGTGAAGCAGCTGTATTCAGTGTATCCGTTATAGCTAATGTATCAATTGCATCTGGTGAGTCTGTTGTATTTGGTTGACTAGGTGTAGGTGGTTGAACAACTTCAATTAGTGTTTCCTAAACAAAAAGATGAATTTCAAAAACATTAACTGTTTTATTTTAAAGGAAAAGTGGTTTGTGCTAAGAAATTGAACATATTTCACTTTCTTCAATAAAATCATTATAATGAATAGTAGAATAATAAACACCGATTTGATTATTTTTATTATAAAGAGTGTGGGTGTGGGTGTCTCTTTTTCTACCACACCCACACCCATCTTTTTCAAGTTGTTCAACCCCTATTTGATTACTAGCCATTTATTCCTAATAGAAATAGTAAAATATATTTCACCGTTTAGTCAAAAAGTATTTGTAAAAAAAACTCACACGTTTTCGACTACTACCAGTTGCAATTTCAAAAGAATGAACGATAAAAAAAAAGTTATTCTTGAATACGTAATATTTGCACGTATTCCTTCCAAAAATATGCACTCATTTTTATTCTCATACATTCTTTCGTTTTTTTCTGTTTCTTCAGTACATATATCTATTTTTTTATCTTTCATTCTTTTGAAAATACTCAGTAATATTCATTGAATATTCTAAATTTTCTCACAAACAATTTTTAAATAAAAGGATGTGTACGTGAGCAAAGGGAAGACTAAATTTTGATAGATACTACGATTAATACTCGACACGAACCCAACTTAATCAACAATAATCCAAAATATAAAAATGTATTAATTCCATAAAAAAAACTACGGATGATTATGAGACAAATGTTCTACATTTTTTTCAAACTATTTTCAATTGATAATATACAATCTAATGAGAATGGTTAAAACAACATAAAAAAATCCATTTTCATCAATATTACAAAAATAAAATATTATAATAATTATTCTATTTAACGTCTTTTTCTTGCCGTTAATCCAGATTTATGTTGTAAACTTGTATTCTTTATTGATGATGCATTTTTAAGTGCAAATTTAAGTGGTGGAAGTGTTACAGTTTCATTAGGTAAAACATTAAGAAATGATGGGACTGATAAATAGGAATAATTAAAACGTTTTGATACCCAACTAATTGCTAATTCATCCGAACGAAGTTTTCCTTCACGTGTATATAAACGTACAGCATACATCCATGATATATCGTTCCACATCGAATGATATTTCATATTAGCTGATGTATAATTTTTTTCTGATGGCATTTCCCATTTATCTTTTCCATATTCGCTATTAAAATAAGTAATAGGTGAACATGGAATTGAAAATCGGTAACCAAATAAATCACATGAACAAAGTTTGTCTAATAATGGAATAATACGTCTTAAATATCAAATCAATAATATTTTCAAATAGATCAAAATTTGAAATATACCTAAATTTTGATCTTTGTGCTTGATAACCATACCAACGATGATTCCCATCACGATATGCCCAAAATAGATCAAATACATAATTTCCCGAAGATAGACGAAATTCAAGAGAATCATTTACCTATATAATCTCTTTCAAATTCATTTACATACAAAATAGAATTATTTATTTACAAGTCCTAATGCAGCCCAAATATGTGTAATAGAATTTCCAAGAAAATAATTTCGTATACTTTCATCATATTCTTCTGCATATAGACCAAAATCTGCATCGTTTGTAAATGGTATCAAACCACAATGACGATACCAACCTTGTAATTGAATATAAAACTAACTAGAAAAAAATTATAATCATAAATTATGACTTACCTAATAAAGTTCCTCCAGCAAGCCAGTAATGCTTTTCAAGTTTATCTAATCCATCAGCAATATGTCTCATAGATTGAATAATCATATTTAACTGAGTAAAATTTTGATATAAATGAAATTTATTTTCCATCTTATCTGCTAATGTTCGATTACAATAAAGAAATTCAGATGTTTTATACAACCATAAGAAATGTGAAATATTTCGAGGATAATGAAATAAATATTCATGTAATTCAGTTTCAATACTATCAAAAAGTAGAAAATATATTTCTCAAATTAAACAAAAAAATATTTACTATTCTACAGCACGTACTTTGTCACCATACGATAATTGTATATTTTTAGATAATTGAAGATGATTTCTATATATACGATAATAAGAATTATATTTATGTAAAACAGCTAAATGAACTATTTTGGTTTCATATTTAATAAATATATGATTAATGAATGTTTTTCCATTATGTAAAATAGTTTTTGATGTTTTGATTGAAAAATTAATATCTTGAAGCAAAAGTGATTCAAATAATATTTTAACTGTTTCATTGGTAATAGCGAAAGTAATTAATTGTTGTTCTGGTTTATCAAATGATAATTGATAATTAAAAACATCATTAAGTACATGTGGATCGATTAAAATTATATTAATTTTTAATTGAAATAAATAATTAAGTATAAAATAAAAAGTTGAGTTCGATCGATAATTTAATCGATTTGATTGCTATAGAAAAAAAGAGAAATAAATTTTTATTTTTAATATCTATGTAACTTACATGAATTTCATGGACATTTGTTACTTGTTTACAAGTACTGATGGTTAACCAAAAGAGAACATAAATAAAAAATAATAGTAAAATAAATGATTTATTTTGATGGAATAAACGAATAAAATTCATCAACTATTCTTGTATATTTATTTATTTAATAATTCGAATACGATTGATAATAGTAATAATAAACGTAATTCTATGGAATTTGAATTATAAAGAATTTTTAATCAACCAAAAAATAATATAGCACATGTAATTTTCTCATATTTTCTTTGAACAAATAAAAATCTCATTTTGAGTTTATGACTAACAAAAAAAGAATTACGTATATGTTTGGGTTCATTCTGCTAAAATTGAATACAAAAAGTTTAGAGCATGCTTTAATCCAAGGAAAACGAAACAAACAAGAATAGAAAACTTTACCTTATTAATAAATGTAATAAAAGTAGAAATAATGTACTGTATTTGTACGAAGATTTTCTTTGTTATTGTTGAATTACTCTCTTAGCAAGACAAAAATCGATAAACAATCTTGAAAATGTGCACATTTTGTACTTTTAAAAATACATTTTTCTTTGTTAAAGAAATAAGTTAGACGAAAGCAACGCTCATCAGCTTTATTTTTAAAACAAAGAAATAATTTATTTAATGAACTTGTATGTGAAATTTCTTTTCGAAAATAAAAACTTCCCGAAAGATAGACTACGAACATATGGCTTCAAGTACAGATTCGATTCATTTAAATATTTTATAATATACATGTCCAAAAACATTAACAATATTCAGGTGTATTTTAGTTCATACGTAGTGTAAAATCTCAACGTAATACTATAGTTGTTCATATATTTTATGAAATATGTAAGCGATTGTCTAAATATTCAATATAAGAATAACACACACAGTAAACTTTTGTAAATTGACTTTTCTTACTATTGTTTCACTAGAAAATATGATTAAACGTTTTCCGAAGAAAAAATGAAGTCTATAATCAATTTGGTTTATATTAGTAAGATCCAATATTTCGTAGTCCATATTTTCAAACGGAACTTTAAGCGGGTGTAGATCAGTATATTATTGTGTTTTTTTCTTTAATATAGTATCTGTTTTCACCATCGACTATGTTTTAGATATATTAAATATTCATTAATAATTAATTGTCGTTTTTTTTTGAAGAATATCTACACACAATGGTTCTCTCTCATTCATTCATAACTTTGCATTTATATCCACACCCACACCCTCAAAGAAAAATAAATAATGAAAGAAAAAAAGTAGAATTCGTTGTTAAGATAAAAAGCACTTTTATAATACTCGAAGATATATACAAAATATAATTGAAAAGTTCGTTTTTCAGTTGATTGCAATTTTTTGTTTATATAGTTACTTAAAACAGCCTGAATCTTAGATACATCTCGATATGAAATAAATATTTCTTTAACGTTGATCACAACAAATATATATTCACTTTATTTTTTTATATCTTTAAATAAAGGCATATGATAGTCTATGAGAAGTTTTGATTACATAAAAAAAAAATTATGAAAATGTGCTAATAATACCAAAATGCAATTAAAAATTATAGAAAAAAAAACAACAACTTATAATCTGACCTAATGCTGTTCGATGCCTATAACAGTAGCTCGTTCTTTTCTTGAATGTCGTGATTTACTACTTTTTCGTACTTTAAAATCTCGTTCAGGAACAACATCATCATGTTTAACAATAACTTCACGACCAAATGTTAATAAATTTTTCATATCATTCAATACTTGATTAATTTGTTTAGTTATTCCTAATGGTTGAATAGTTGATTGTAATTGTTGATTATCATTTTCAATTAATGTTGGTGTTGATGTTGCTCGACGAGATATAACATCTTCTGTTATTTCATTATCCTATGAAAAATAATTTTTTTTAATTTGTAAAATACTAAAAATAAAATTTACTTCTTGTTTATTCATTTGAATAAATCGATTATAATTTTCTTGAGTATAACCATTTGATAATTGACAAATTTCATTATCAATCATTTCTTTTTGTAATATATTGAAATTTAATTGATTTGTTGATTTTTCATGTCCATCACGAATAACTAATTGTGTAAGTGCATTATTTTCCGTTTGAAATACTTCAAAAAAAAAACAAAATCAAAAATTTAGATATTAAAAATTATTTTACATTGTCTTTCATGTTGTAATTGATCATTTTGTATTTGTTTTTCTTTTAATGTTATTTCGAATAGATGTTTCATTGATTGTAATTCTTGTTCATAACGTTTTATAGTTTCACGTTTTGTTTGTAATTCCTTTTAGAAAATATGAGAAAGATAGAGTTAATATTAATAAATAGATAGTATATTACATTTGTTAACATTTGATTTTCAGATTTGAATGTTTCAAATTGAATTTGTACATCTCTTGTATGTTGTTTATTTAAACCAGATTCATGTTCTAATTGATTATTTATATTTGTTATTTGAAGAAATTTTGAACGGTATTCTTGTATTTCAAGTTTAATTTTTTGATTTTCATTTAAAAGTTGTTCATTAAAATCTTTTAATTGTTCTTCATTTGTTTTATGATTGGCTACTTCTGTACTATGTTGTTTTATAATACCAGTTAACATATTTACTTGAAGTAATAATGCTTGATATTTATTATTAATATCATTATGAGCAATTTCAATTTGTTTATTATGATTAATAAGATAACGAATACGATCAGATAAATGATTACTTTCACAAATATGTGCAGTATTTAAATCTTCATTGATGGAATCGAATTGTTTTTTATAATTTTCAAAATAAGAAATTTTTGATGAAACAATCGATGACATGACATCAAGAGTTAACTAGAAATAAATGAGAAGAAGAATTTTTAAAATGAACAAAGAAATTTTATTTATACATCTGATGTATTGTGTTCAGGTGAAATTAATAAAAACCATTGTTTTAATTCCGATTCAAAACGTTCACATTCAGCTGATTTAGGTAAAAGTAATGTTAATTTTTGAGATAATTCACTACATTCATTTGCTTTTGAAGTTACTGTTTGTTGTAAACGTTGAATTTGCATCTTAAATGAAATTTTTTTTTTACGAAATATTTTAATCTTAAACAAATTTACTTGTAAATTTGATATTTGTGTAAGAAGATCACGATTTTCTTTGATTTTAATTTGATTATTCTGTTCAACATGTTTATTACGTGCTTGTAATGTTTCGAAACTTTGTTGAAATTGTTCGATCTAAATGAATATAGAAAGAAAAAACTAATAGAAGATGATATGAATTACTTTTAAATGAAGTGCATGATGACGTGTTGCTTGTTCAGTTTCATTTTTAACTAATCTTTCATTAAGTTCACTGACTAATTCATCTTTAACTCGAAGTTTTTTTTCATATGAATCTCTAAAATAAATAAGAAAAATTTTCATTGAAAATAAAAAAAATATCTTTTACTTCTTACCTCAATGTTAATACTTCAACTTTATAATTATCTAATGATTGACCAATTTTTAATGATTCTTCGCGTTGTTTTGCTAAATGTTTTTCATAACCTTGTCGAACAGATATTGTACTTAAGAAATAAATTTTTTATTTTTTATTTTTTATTTATATATATATGAAATAATTACTTCTGTTCGAAAGCTTCAGTTAATTGTGCAATAACATGTTTATTTTCATTTAACATATGTTCTTGTTGTTCATTTAACTGAAAATGAATTTTTATAAAAATGAAAATAATTTATTAAGATGATTTTACATCAGTAATTCTTCGTTTAGCATGATTTACTTCGGCTTCATAATCACGAAAACATTGTGTAATTCCATGAGAAAGTCGTGTATAGAGATCAACTGATATATTATCATCATTGGAAGGTAAATAAGATTTTTCTTAAAATTTAAACAAATAAAAAAAAATAGAAAATAAAATTATTTAAACCTCGTTTTTTCTCTTCTTTTATAATTAATTGTTTAAGCACTTCAATAAATGAAGCTAATGATGGTGGTGGCGGTGGTGGTGCTGATGAAATCATTTCAGACATCATTCCTACTGGTCTTCTTTGATCAATTGGTCTAGCTGTTGATGTCATTGCAATTGTATTTGACATTTGTGGTACTGATTGTAATTGTTGACCAATTAAAAGAAATCTATTCATATAACTTTCACTTAAAGTACGAATTTTTCGTTCATTTTCACGCATTAAATTCGTTATTTTAAAGGATTGATCTGTATCATTATCATTACTAGTTGATGATGCTGTTGTTAGATTACCATCATCATCATCATCACTTGAATCTACTAAAGTTTTTAATCTTATCAATTGTTGATCATGTTGTTTCTTCATTTTTTATTCTATTGAAATGGTTGAACAAAAAAAAGTTTAATAGCATATTAGTAGTAGACATTATCAAATTATAAAACCATAGTAATGAGAAGGCTTTCTTTCTCTATTCATCAATACAATTGGTGTTAATATTTAACCAATAGGATTACAACTACATATAAATCGATCTATCCTTGAAAGGAATTTAGTTATTGTATTGTTTTGATCAAAATGGGTGCTCAAACCTCATCTGCTACTACCAATCAAGGATTAAATGATCATGTTAAACCAACAGATGCTAAACATTCAACAGCCAAAGGTTCAATAGATGAATGTCCACATTTTCAAAATCAAAAACCTGAAAAACCTGAAAAACAAACTTATCCAAGTGAATGCCCTATGTCAGGATCAACAGGCAATAGTGATGTTAATCCATTAAATATGATGCCACCAGCTAATCAAATGCCTGCACCTGATCAACCATTTCCATTATCAACAGCACGTGTTACTTCAAATATTCCTAAAGTATCTGAGAAAGATGAAAATTGGGTATGAAAAAAATATTTTAAAATATAATTTCTTATTAATTTCGATATCTATTAGGTTTATCCATCTCCGCAAATGTTTTGGAATGCAATGTTACGTAAAGGTTGGCGTTGGCAAGATGATGCATTAGCACCAGCTGATATGGAAAATATTATACGGATGCATAATATTAATAATGAACTTGCTTGGATGGAAGTATTAAAATGGGAAGCATTACATGCAAATGAATGTATGAATCCTCGTTTAGCATCATTTGGTGGAAAAGCTAAAGATTTTTCACCACGTGCTCGAATTAGAAATTGGATGGGTTATAAACTTCCATTTGATCGACATGATTGGATTGTTGATCGATGTGGAACACGTGTGAGATGTATGTTTTATTTAATTTAATTTAAATATTCAATATTTTTATTTATTTTCTTTTAATAGATATTATTGATTATTATGATTCAGAAAAACTCGATCATGATTCATTAACATTTACAATATTAGATGTTCGACCAGCATTTGATTCAATTGGCGCTGCTTGGGATCGTACGCGTGCTGCATGGTGGCGTTGGACAGTACGAGATACTTATGATACGACAGAAGCACATACACGTGATGAATTGATAAAGACAGCTAAACATGAACTTGATAAGAAAAAAGAACCATCTGCATCTTCATAAAATAATAATTAATTGTTACCTTTCCTTTCATAATCTCCCTTACTTACAAATATGTGTGTGAGTGTGAGAGTCATATCAATCAAGCACTGCACGTTAGAAACAGAGAAACCGTTTTTTTCTTTTTTCTATATCTTTTGACTGTTATTTTTAGATTAAATAAATATATGTCTAAACAACAAATGGTGATTTAATTTCTTTATATTGTTTACAGGAGAAAAAAAAAACAATAAAAGTATGTTGTTGAATTTAGAATAAAAAGAATGAACAACGATTTATTGAAACATGTTTAAAACGATTAGAAAAAAATAAAAAAGAATCAATAAATCACCTGGAAAGGTTTGTTTATTATTTAACAGCAATCAAAAAAAATATAATATTATTTATTTTAGGCCTAAAGAATGGTATAATTTTACTTCATCTACAGATGAAGTACTTGTACCATCAAATTGGGTTAGTCGATTAGATGAAGCTAATGCAGTGAACAATCATCTAGAGGTTAATACAATTAATAATAAATATTGTCTCTTTATATTTTTCTTTTAGTATCTTCGTGAAAAAATTGAACAAGATTTTCCTGAGTAATTATTATAGAACGAAAAGAAAAAGATAATTATAATTATTTTTTTTTATTTTAGAGATAATGAAAAAATTGATCGAGAAGCAGCATATTGTTCATCAGCTTTACATAAAATGCAACAAAATAAATTTCATCAACGTCTTCATGATCATCAAATGCGATGGGTAAGAATAATTTTCTAATATTATCTTTATCAATGAAATCTTGATTTTTTTAGCACCCTGTTGTACTAGTTGGTGAGCTTGCAGCTTCATTACCTAAACCTACAACAGATCCAGCTGAAATTGAAAAACAGTTGTACAAATCTTTATTAAATAATAAATAGTTTTTATAATTTCTTTTTTAATTGTATATTTCGTAATGTTTTGTATCTTTTCTAGATTTTCTGAAGTTTTCTTTATTTCAACAGTTATTTTATCATGCTTCGTCGTCCATTGACAAGTAAAAATTAACTATGGTTTTTTCAATAGAATTAGATAATGTTTATTTTTATTTTTAGAAATTGATATCAAAGTGGATGAAATCGAAGATCTTAATGCAGCAATACAAGAACGTAAAAATCAAAAACCTGGCATGACTAATCGAGATCCATTAGGTGCACCTGTACTTCCACCACCATCACAATCAGTATTTTCTTTTTTTGATGGCGTCGGTACTAATGCAACTCCAAGATAAACTACTATTATTCATATCTGACTGTAAATTTCTTATTTTCTATTCTATAAGTTGTTATTAAAAAGAAATATATTGAATTATTTGTTCATTTTACCATTCAATATTCTCTACTTCTATTCAATCTGTTAATAAACGAATGATATCAATAGTAGAGACTCATAAGAAATCTTCTTAGTTCAATACATGTCTATATGAAATATTCTGATCATTGAAATGTATCAGTGTATTAATTAGATACACATTCGAATAGAACAATAATCATATCAATTAAGAAACGATGTTAATAGAATAGATTTGTAATAGCTAATTGATGTGTATCATTCCCGAAATGATATCAATTATGACAATAATAGAACAGTATAAAATAGAAACAAATATTGAAATAAACATATATTCAAACATGAATTCAACATATCAACCATCTCCACTTATTCTTGATCCATTTATTCTTCATTTTCTTTCATCAACAATTGAACCACCACCACCACTTCCATTATCAATTTTCTTTTATGATCCATTTCTTGTTGTACCTCCACCACCAATAACAAGTCCAACAACATCTGATATAACGACTTCACCACCACCTTCACAAGTAAGATTTTTATATTCTATTAAATATATTCTTTATTTTTTCGTCTCTTTTGTTTAGAATTTAATAACAAAATCAAACATTTCTGCTCGTCATCGTTATACACCATTACAATTATTTACACTTCATCGTATTTTTATTCAATTACCATATCCATCATTAGAACAACGTCGTCTTATTGCAGAACATCTTAATCTTGATAATGAACAAGTTCGTATTTGGTTTTCTAATCGTCGATCAAGACAACGTGGATCTAGTTATCAAACAAGCCTTATTCAACCAACATCAAATGAATGCTTAAATATAAAACCATTATTCGATCAATTAAATCTTTGTATTTGATTAATTTTTTTGTTTTGAATAAAAATTTGTTACTTTTGAATTTATTCTAATTTGTCTTGATAGTTCTCTGCGTATAAAAGTTATTATGATAAAAGTAATCGTCAGAAAAAAAAGATACAAATAGAATAACATTGATTCAACAGATAAATTTTGTACTAATTACTATTATAAGATTCAATGATAATTATTCAATATAAAATGTTTTTTGTGTGATATTTATTTCAAAACTACTGTTACAGAAAAACAAATAAAAAGCCTTATTTTTTCTCAATAATACCTTGTGCTATATCAAAAGCAGATTGAATACCAATCAAATCACCAAGTTTTGATGGAACAATATAATTATCAATATCATTTGTGATTGCTGGTATATCTAAATAACTATTTAATATTTGTAAGACATGTTTTCGTATATGTTCAAATAGGCCATTTCGTTTTGTTAAACCACCACCAATAATAATACGTTTGACGGATGTTAAATAAATAACTGATGCACATAATTGTGCAATATAATATGCTTGAATATTCCATACAGGATCATCATCTGGAATTTTACTTAAAAGATTTGGAGAGATTTTAAGACGATCGGCAACAGCTTTTGCTTTTGACATTCCTTCAATACATGAATTATGATATGGACAATCACCAGCATAATCATCACCAGCAAAACGTTCACATTTAATATGAGCACCTTCTGGATGCATCAAACCATGAACAGGACGACCTTCAAGAACAAGACCAACACCTACACCTATTTACAAAAAAAATAAATAAATGAAAATACGAAAAAGAAAAAGAATTTTAATAGTAAAACCTGTTCCAATAGTAATATAGGCTGCTGATGAATCACCTCGAAGTGCAGCTTCAGTCATTGCTGGTGCATTGACATCAGTTTCAAAAGCTACAGGTACATTCAAACCTCTAAATGCGCCAACAACATTTACATATTGCCAACCAGGTTTTGGAGTTGTTGTAATATATCCGTAGTGTTTACTTGTTTTATCCAGGTCAACAGGTCCAAAACAAGCAATACCAATAGCGACAAATGGTCGTTCAGATCTTTTCGATTCTAACCATTCATAGATTTCACGTAAAGTATGTTCAGGATCTGTTGTTACAATTTGTAATGAATAATTATTATCGTATTGTCCATTTTCATTACTTATAGCGACTTTACATCCAGTACCACCCATTTCTATACCAGCAACAATTGATGGCATGATCACTTCTTTATTCAAAATGATCTATTATAAAAACAAACAAAAACATCATTAATTTCCACAGGTCATATTTAAAGATGCATCTATAAATAGGTACATATCTTATTAGTTTCAATCGCAATAGACAATGAAAGAGAAAAACATACGAGTAGCTTGTTCTTTTATAAGAGAACGAGTCGACCTACAACAATAATAAAAGTATGATACTTTGTAAACGAAATTATATAATAATATTTTCTTTTTAACTAGTAGACAAATATCTATACGTTTTTTTCTTTCTAATTACAAATTGATTTTAGACGTTTTTTTTATTACAATGGAGATTCAATGCAAAAAATAAAACTGCGCAAAGCCACACAATCACATCTAAACAATATTTTCATATACTACATCCACGTGAGTATTTTATGCATATGCGCGCAAAGAAAGGTTAGACAAAGAAAAGAAAATATGTTTCACTGCCATTCTTTTTCTTTACTATTTTACATTTTATCTACAAATTGTCAAATACACCCTCGCTCCTTGTCTAGAAAAATGGTTTCTGCATTTTTGTTTTCGTTTGGAACATATAAATGTTTTCTTGTTATTATAGCTACTTATCTACGAAAAAAAAGAACAAATCGACCTTCTCCTAAACATTTCTGAAATCTTTAATTATATATTCGATGTTTTTGTATACTCTTCCACCTATTCAATTCTGATATCTTCGAGACACTTCTAATTAGTATTCTGTTTCAAATCTCGTTTACAATCAGGTTATGCATGAATAACAAATTATAGAACTAAGATCGGTAAAATTAAAAAAAGTACGAAAAAAATTACAAATATGTAGGCATGTCTAGTATACCTTTTGTGATATACATACACATTTCTATATTCGTTTTGTGCCTCTTGCTTCTGTTCTCTTTTCATTGGTTCTTGACACAAGGCAACCATCTTGTCTCATGGTGTGTATGTATTAAATATAAACAAGATATTTTTTTTTTCTTCTTTGTATATTTTATCTATACCATTATTAGTCATATGAATATTGAATACAAAACATCATTAAGCTATTATTATTGAATATATATAAAAAGTATTGTTTTGAAATGATACTAAATAAAAAAAACTATGAATGAACTAATAATTAGCCTTAGATTTCTCGAGGGATGATCCTAAATATACACATATTTACGAAATTTTTATATTTCTGTTCATAACTATTATTGTATGTAATAAGAGTGATACCCTAATTTATAATAATTAAAAGCATGTTTAACTATTAATAAAATCTATATTCTATTAACTCATAGGTACTATATTTATTTACATTTATAATGAAAAAAAAACAAATAATGTGAATATATTAATTAATAAAATTCAATATTTATCTAATAAATATAGAAATAATTTAATGATGAAATATGATATTTATTTATTTCGAATGTCAATTAAACTATGAAGATTTTCTATTATAGAGCTATCAAAATATTTGTCAATAAAACTCAACAAGTAACGACATCATTATTAGTTATATATTTCTTTTCTATTTCATGATTTGTTCTATCATCAACTAATCTTATTTTACATTTTTACCGCTGTATGTTACAACAACCAACCTCCCTCCCTCGCTCGGTCGCTCTATTTATTTATTTACTTATTTATTCGAAGTAGAAAGAGAAAAAGAAAAATCATCTTGTAATTCTTATGAAATTTCCCACAAGTTTTTCCCACTACGGTTAAGTTATTCCGAGATATTACTCATAACAAATACATGTCTATACGTCTTTATACACACTCATATATTTACTTTTTATTTAAAATAGTTTCGTAGATTGAACAGCAACAATGAGCAGTGAAATAGCCATCAGTAAAATTCAAGCAGTTAAACAGAAATTAGAGAAATATATTGTTTCAAAACAGAATGATAAGGTAAATTTCTTTTTATCTTGTCTTTTATATAATTCATTCATTTTTATATTAGGTTCAAGAATACCTTCAGATATTGCACAATGGAGCAATTACTCCCGAATTACTTCAAGTAAAAATTTGATTAAATTTTGACAGAATTTATTGATGAAATTTTCTTTTTTTTTATAGAAAACTGAAATAGATGTGCTTGTCAATAGACTTGCATCTGATAATACAGCTTCTTATTATTCAATCGCTCAGAATCTTCTAAAGAAATGGCATGATAAGAATCTCTTACAAAAAACAACAAATACATCCAAAGTGAAAACAATAACAAATACCGCTAAACAAGTTGCGAAAAATAAACTTGCAATGAAACGAAAATCTGATGATGATGATGATGATTATGATACAAAACATTCAAATCCATTAAG